AAGTTTTCTAGGAGCCTCAAAAAACCGGGTCGTCAAATAATAGTTTTTTCCTGGACACTTATGCAATTAAAAGTTTTCTGAACACACAGATTTGTAGAACAAACGTTTCTAATCAATATAAGACCTCGTCCAACTCTGTATGACCTTGCATCGAAAAGTTACAGGCATTTTCTTACAAGTCCTAAAACTGAGCATTTTGAACAGCGTTTAATACAGCGTTTTCTCTACATGAAAGTTATACCTGAAGTGCGTCCCAGATTTCTCCTACAATTCTAATGATATAGATTTCGGAGTCTGGTCGAAGTGTAGCCATGACCTACCGCTACAACTTAACAGAGCCAGATTTTTTATTTTCGGTTTCATTTATTGAGAGAAAGAAAAGGCTTTTCGAAAAATTAACCCTGATTTTTTGAAACTTTTGAAAAACATCTTAGCCAAAAATGAATAAAACAAAGTTTAAGCGATTGGGATCTGTTAAGTTGTAGCGGCAGGTGTTGGCTACATTTTGACACGAACCCGAAATCTGTATCATTAGATGCAGAGGAGAAATCTGGGACGCACGGGCACCTACTTTTTGACCTTTAATGTTAGGATAACTCTTGAACAACTCAATATTTTAAGTCTTTGAATAGTAGGTCACGACTTGGTTGGACTGAAAATGAATATGATTAAAGTTATGATCATCAATAATATTTGAGGACAGATTCAATATTGTCTTTTTCACTGTTATTTAAAACTTCATTCACAAAATGTTTATGAAATTACCTATTGTTTCCATGATGTGTGTATTCTTGTGAAATAGTAAGTCAAATGAAGTGAGGACGCATATTCTATAGGAAAAATATTGTACGCTATTAAAAAATTCATTCGCTTGACATATCGAGACATTTAATTATTTGTGTTATTGACGCATAAGAACAACTGCAATTTGTCTAATGATTCATGTATACTAATTCCCATAGGCTTTGAAATAACAGCTTTTCAAAATCTTTATTTTTGTTTACTTTAGAACCAATATGCGACAGAGTCGATTATATTTTTCTTGTTGACAGCCTTAAGTACTGAACATAAATTGAGTCTTTTTTTAATTTTTGAGGTTCTTTCCATTCGAGCGAAGATTGGTAGACATAAAAGTATATGGATCGATAAAACCTTTTACAGACTATATTTTGGTAAAAAACTCTTTTTTTCTTTTATCAGCCATCTTAGTCTCTAAACGACTCTAAACGGTATTTAAGTGTACCTGTAAAACAAACAGTACAAAAATTTAAAACAATCAAGTTTTTTTAAACATCATTAGAAAATCGTTTTGCTACACCATTCGAAAGAGCGTGAAAAACTGAACAAAAATCAAGCTATTTTTTAATTACAAGAATTTACATTGGGCACCGGTTGTACTGTTCAATTTCATCATTTTTAAAAGGTCATAAAACAACTTATTACATACTTTGAACCTTTCTGGAAAGCCTTGGTTATAGAGAAGAACGTGGAACTAAAAATAGGCTGTATGTTCGATACTTTTATGATTAGAGAATATTTCTAAAAGAGCACTCTTAAACTATTCTGCCAAGTTCATTCGATAAAAAGATACACTTTTTCTCAGAGTCAAACGAACTCGAAGGCACTCTGATAAGAAATTATTACTTGGCAGGGTGGTTATTTATTATCTTCTTTCACACAGATCGCAAGAAAAGTAGTATGATGAATTCTATGTGACTTTCAGATTATATACCTCTTCTTTTGCTGTGGATGATCTCTGTCATACTTGTTTAACGGTCTATTGTACTAGAATACTGTCCATAGATCAAAAAACTGCACCGTATATGATTGATATATCGATTTGTTTTGATTTTAAGATACAATTCGACTTTAGTGTGTATTATCAATATTAATTTTTTCGTAATTATCTTTCACATCTTTTCTATTAGTGTAGCCCGTCATTAGTTTACAGTTCGTACAGAAAAAAGACAACAAAACAAACAAATACCATCAGTAGTCACAGTACGTCTAGTATCCACGCGTATAAATATATATATAAAAACAATTATCATCAGTTGATTTTGTCACACAGTTTCAAATCATAATTAGAAAAAAATGAAAGAAACAAGAAAAAAAAGTGCTTAAACTCACTAGAAACAAAGATTTTTCTGCAACCCAAATAGGTAGATGATCATGCGCTCATGGAAAAACTCGAAAAAAACATCGATTATATTCTCATTATTGTTAATAATGTATCACTAAAATACTCAAATCACACTTTGATCAAATGAGATAATCAAAGAAGACTTTTCTAACAAGTCAAATATGACTTAAGTATGTGTTACGTGATAGCGAATTCAAAATCTAATGAAAATAAAACATTTTAAAAAGAAATAAGTTCTTTATTTTATAGCCTATATTTCGGTATATATTTAATATCTAAGACGGAATGATATATCAACGTCTAGTTATTCATTTTTTTTATATCCTCACATGTTTCATTGAACTTTTCTCAACTAGTTTTTGCTGCTTATTCCATTTGCGCTTCACCATGCAATACCTTCTGTCAACTGTTTGTTTTTTTTCTTTCTCTTGAAACAAAAAAGAACATGAAATTGTCACTAAAAAAAAATGAACTTCTCGCTTTTCTTTTAGAACCGTACATGTACAAAGAAGAAAACAAACCAAGAAAAAAAATGTAGCAGCAGCTTTAATTAGAAAAAAAAAGAGAAGAAAAAAGCTAGAGAGAAGAGAGAGAATATATTGAATATGATATACTTGTGTTGACGATACGCGTACAATAAGAGAAAAAAAATCTGAACAACGAACAAACAAATCGTCTTGTTCGGATTGATGTTCTTGCTGGTTTGTTTGTAAAATTAAAGAAGAAAAAGAGCCATTCATGTTTATTCATTTGTTTTGGGTTCTGAAGCGAGAAAAAGTGAAACGTTAGACAAAATTAATTACATATAGCGCATTGATAAAAAAAGAGAAAAACAAGTAACAGATTGGATACCCACGCACCATGATTTTAAATATAGCCTCTTATTTCTTTCTAATAATTATATCTAATTTCATACGTGCTTTGAAAAAAAAAATACTTCTGATATACTTATTTTAGATATGTTTTTCTTCATAGCACACAATTTACAGACAAATTATATATCATTCAATACTTTCAAAAAATTTAAAATCAGAATTTTCTGTAAATTTAAGTATGTGTTGTTGTGTTTTTTGTAAGAAGAAACGGAACAATAATATCAATAAATCAATCAATTTCAAGCTCTTTCTCTTCTCTAAAGCAACAGTTTTTGTGCACGTAACATAAGCAGCCTGTTTGAAAGCGTTAGCTTTAGTATGATTATTATTTCGAGCTGGTACCTTTTTTCTGTCCTTTTGGGTACATGTGTATGGTGGAGGATGAGAAAAAAAGAGAAAAAAGCTGTCTTAATCGTCTGATGAATTTTTATGATTATAAGCAATACTATCGACAATATCTCCCGCTGTTGTTGGGATATCATCCTGAATAGTCGTATCTCCGACTGTTGCATGATTTGTTTCTTGAATGGATTGTTGTTTCTGCAAAACTTTTGGGTTTTGCTTATTACCTGATGTAACAACCGTTGGACCGCCACCTGACATCACATTTGCTCCAGCTGTTGTCGTCTGACCTCCATTAGCCATAGCCGTATTTGTCGTTGTTGTTGATGAAGCTGCATTTGCTGCTTTTTGTTTCAACATAGTCCAATCAAACGTATAATCATACTGATGATTCAAAGTACGAAATAGAATTCGAAATAATTGTCTCAAATACATATAATCTGGAGCTTCTTCAAAACGTAAACCACGACAATAATTTAAATACATGGCAAATTCAGCTGGGAAACCCTAAACGAAATAATATGTATGTAGTACGATATGCAGCACTTCAACCTGAACATTTCAGAATGTTAAATGGAAAAAAAGTTTTGTAAATCTCTAAAGAAGAGAATTAAAAAGAAATAACGGAACAAAAAAGATATCAGATTCGTGATCCGCGTCAAAAATTGCCCAAAGAAAACTTTTTCATGGCAAAAGTGATTAGGATGTCGTAAACGTTCATTCCTAAATTGAACTTACTTTACACAGAACTTCTACTGGTGTTGACATTTTTTTCTCAGAAATTTTTTCATATTTTTGTTTTTTTGTGGCTGCTTTCAAACCTTGCCATGGTAAACTACCACGATTGAAATACATCAGCACATAACCTAGTGATTCCATATCATCACGGCGACTATAACGATAAATAAGCAAATAACATAAGATAAAATTCAAAAATAAAAAACACTGTCAATTCAAAAAAAAGAACATTATTCTAATTTGTATGTCTTTTATTGACATAAAAGTATTTTGTGTTCACAAAACATTGTACATCTTCAAGCTGAAGAAAAAAGACGACAATCTCCACTAAGCAGCCGAGTCAACAACGAATCGAATCTAGTTCGTATTAATTGAAGAGTTGACTACAAAAAGCATTCGTATCAGAAGGTTAAACGGATTTCATGACTAATCGATTCGTGCCTACCTTTGTTCAATTCCTAAATGCGCATTAATACTAGCATATCTCGCTGTTCCCGTTAAATTTTTATCTTCTCTGTATGGAATATGTTGACGTGTACGATTATCACGATATTTTTTAGCCAAACCAAAATCAATCAAAAACACCTAAAACAGAGAAAATAAATATATAAATAATTCGTAAATCCGACGTCAAAAATGACACAACACCGTTTTTTTTGTAAGTGTTCATCCGTTTTTTTAAAACATTTTTTAAAGACACCAAGAGCAGTCAAAAAAACATTTGTACTAAGCCTTATTATAGAAACTAAAAAAATTTCAAAACATAACCGAGCATAGTGGAAAACGGAAAATAACAGCAGCAGTTGTTCGAGTCATTCAGTGAAAATTGAAGAAAGATCATGGAAAATCAGTATTGTCCGTAAAGATGAAAGTTGAAAAGATTTAGATATGATAGCTAGTAACAGTACAATTGAACATCGGTCTATTTGGTATGATGGTATATGGAGTTGTTTTGCAAGTGAAAACTGTTAGAAATGTATTTTTATCGATCAGGTAATAAATACATTCTATTGGCACGAGATTTTACAATAATATCACAATTATAAAAAAATTGACTACATTTAGAATGAAGTTGGAAGAGAAATGAAAAAGCACCAAATCAAGAGTAAAAAATGACTTCTTTCGATTCAGTAGAAAGATATAGATACCAGAGTAGTAATTAGCCGTTTCGGAGTCAAATCGTCTATATAGATATATACGTATGCATTCGAGAATCAAGAAATTAGCAAGAGTACAAGAAAGTTTTTAATGTTTTCAGTTTTAGTACTGTCTGAACATTTTTCGATAATAAAAATCGATGTTTTCATTTAGTTTTTTAATATATATTTAGAAATGATGCAACAGATCCTACAGAATGATTTAGGAAAAGATCAGTTCTAGTTATTATATTTAAAAACAATACTATTTGAGAGTAAGACAATACATACTTTATTACAATGTCTTCCAATTCCCATCAGAAAATTATCGGGTTTGATATCTCTGTGAATAAAATTTTTATTATGAACAAATTCAATTCGACCAATCATCTAAATAGACAAGAAGATCACATCTGCTATAATGAACTAACTCATGATCTAACAAATATGTACATACTTGATCAGCTAACATGAGAACTGTTTTCATTGTAAATCTTCGTGAACAAAAATTAAATAAATCTTCTAATGATGGTCCCAACAAATCCATAACCAACACATTATAATCCTTTTCTTGGGCATAATATCGTATATGCGGTATACCGATTCCACCTTGTAATATTTTATACAATTTTGATTCATACAATAATTGTGGATGTCGTGCTTTGATACTTTCTAATTTAATAGCCACTTCTTCACCATTTGTTATATTTATACCCAAATAGATGTCACCAAATGAACCAGAACCAATTTTACGTACCAAACGATATTTGCCACCAATTAGAAATTCTGTTTTTGACGTCAAATGAATCGACGAACCAGTGCCTGGTGCTAAGTCCATCGAATCTGGAATATAATAACAAGGAACATTATTAAGAGCAAATATAGCAAATAAAAGATTGACCGATGCACTTCATCAATTGTAAATGTGATCACATTTGTCAAAAAGAAAAAAAAACTTTAAAAATTCTTCAATTTGTAAATTAATTCACTATTATAATTTTCATTACCTATAACATCTTTCCGAAGAGAAAATAAACATTCTCACTTAGTCACCAGGATGATTGGACTAACTTAATGACACATTTTTGTTATACGTTATATAAATAATAGCAAATATTCATCAAAAAAAAGGTAAACAATACAAAAAGAATGTCTAAATTTCGAATAGAGAACGAAGAAATATTATGAAAAGTATTTTATTGATAAAACAGTAGGAGTGAATTGAACACGTAATCGAAAGAATTCTTTGAAGTCTTAATCGCACGTGTACAATGACTGCCCACTGCTTGATTTTATGATAATGTCGAAGTAAAGTACCTGTCAGATAAATATGAGAAAACAACTGAACAACGATCTCACTAGTCTACACTTCTATTAGTTCAAAAGCAAAATGACAGTTATTTGAGCTGTAAAAAGATTTCTACAGCTTGGCATAATTTTTCAATTTAGTATCATCTTCAATTGCTGACAGAATAGTTGAATTCTGATTATTATCTTAAGAAAAAAGGATATACTTGTATAAGGAAAGATTTTTACAAAAAGTTCATTTTTCCTCATGTATACTTGTAGTCCATCGTGTCCAATACAACTCAGTTAGAAAACAAGTCATGTGATAAACCCCTTATCCTTCTCTCTCTCTCTCTCTCTCTCTCTCTCTTTATTAATATTCTCAATGTCTTGGTCTTTACTTATTTTTAACTTTTTCAATCATTTGTATGTGTTCACATCATCCAAAAAAGAGTAACACTTCAATTACAGTAATGTAAAGTAAAGTATAATAAACAACACAACACACGTACAGTTGTATTGATGTCTTGACGATACTTTAGTGGTTAGAAGAAGAACAAAAAAAAGCAATCTTTCTCTTCTCTCTCACTTTTTCGTGATGGTGATGGTTCCATGTCTTGTATTTTTTTATTTATTAGTGGTGATTGTACACAATACTACTTTTCTCTATTAGACAGAACACACGTACGTTACGGTATAGAGCACATGGCAAAAATGATTGTACAGTGTGAGAGAGAAAGAGAGATACAGACGAAAGAGAAGAAAAAAAAAGAGTGCACATGTCAAACAGTAATACATCCGTTTTATCGCTAGTTTGTATATTGGACCATTAATAGAAGGAAGGAAAGAGAACATGAGATTAAAAAGACAGGTGAAAGTTAATATAACTTCAGGACGTATATAATTTAAATATTCTTATATACACTTATGACAAATATTAGATTGTACAGTTAATGAGTTTTCATTTTCTCTATAGTTGAAAAATAAACATTAATTCGAAAATATCAAATTGATAAAAGAGTATTTGATTTACAATTAGATTGAAATCAAAAAGTCAAATGTGCATAGTGTCCTGAAGTTTTTTGATCAATATTTAGGGTTAGAATAAACAGGAGCACCTGAGTTAACTTTTTTCTCACATTCCACTACTAGCGAGTCTAGATCAGACGTTCTCTTTCATTTAAAGACTGATTGTCGAAAAAATATGAATCACTCTCTTCAGACAAAACAGAGAAAAGAGTAAAAACGAGTTGGACGAAAATAGCTTTGTAAGACAAACAAATAAACTTTAACATCTAGGACATATAAATCATAGATGCATTGAATGACTTTCAACTTCAAATTTCGAAAAAGCTTTAGCTTTGATCTGATTGTAACTTTTGAAACTATAAAAAGAAAAATGCAATTTGGAAGGAAAACCATTCTCGCAGTGTCTTTTCTCATATTATATATCGAATCTTCACCGAACTTCAAGATTATATTTATTCAACTGAGAAAAGAATATAAGAAAAACTTGGGCCAAGATCGATCATTCAGCATCATAGATCCACACGGATCGGGCTACAAAAGTTTTCAAGCGTGACCAGATCAAGAATCAATTGAGTGAGAATGTTTAGCATAAACATGTGGCATCCATGTTGTTTGTTTTTCATATATGTAGCTGAATGAATATGTTTACCTAGTACCTACAAAGGTTGAAAAAAATAAGAACAACAAGTCATGAAAATATAAATATCAGAATTAGGAATATATTAATACTAGTTAGTCAGCGAAAGCATTTCAGATTGCAAGAATTTTCAAAAAGTTTTGATTGAGACATGAAAATGTTTAGAATTATATTTAGAAATGTTTAGTAGGCCTTTTCTTTCGAAAAATCTGTCTTTTCAATACAATAAGAAGCAAATTTTAAAACTGTGTTCGCAGTTTTTTAAGCGTCTACAACTAATTACTATCTAAATTTTCTACAGTTTTGAATATTTTGTGAATGAAGTTCACCTTGAAAAATAGAGCTCTTTGAGAAGTCTTGTTATCTAGGGCTTCTGGTAATCTTTTCAAGTTCTTCTTAACTAATAAAGAAGGGGCACTTGTTTATCTGGGGACCATATCACAAAAATACTTAAGTCTGACTTAAGCCATTGACGCATTTTTCGAATAGCTCAGGCATTTAACGATACAATTCGACGAAAACGGCATTCTAAGGATCAGAGAATAAATATTTCATTATTTTGCGGGTTTTTGTCCCAAGTTTATCACTACTGTCAATGACTTTTAAAAAGTAAACACATCGCCAACTTAAGTCTTTTCGTAATACGGTTTAAGTGGGTCGTGATACGACTATTAATTCGAATCTCTTCATGTAAAAGTAAAAGATAATTGTAATTTTGGAATTAGATCTTCAACAAGCTCTGTTAAAAACAACCGTAAGAGAACTCATCTAAATACCGAAAAGAAAAATTTTAAGTATATTCTGCCTCTATGCAGTGTAAAAACGACAAACACGTACTCTTTCCTTAGAAACAGATTTCTGTTCATAATGCTGAAACTCACATAAACGAAATAATCGCCCAGAACTAATCCAATCTTCTGCAGGTATTTGTTTTTGTGAATAATTGAAGTTAGTCGTAGACATATCAGACTCACTTAGTATTTGTTTATCTCGCAAAAGAATTTACTAATCGAAAGAGACTTATTTCGATCCCAAATAATATTATGAACATTGAACAAATTATCTTTCTCCTTGGCTCCTTGTTGAAAAACCAATCTAAGAGGTGTTGACACTTTTTATTACATTCACAGATTATTTTTATTCTAGGAAATCAAACAAACTCCTACTTTATCTCAGAACGGCAGAGACGACTGATCGATGTACAAACCCCTTGAATATTTAACACAACGATAGTCAATGAAAAGCACTACCATACCTGTTCAATAATATACTTGCTTTGATGTTTCTATAAGCTGATTTTAAAAAAATTTTATGATTAAATATATACTATTGAATCGAAATTCAAATTATCTTTTCCCCATCTAGAAAACACAAAGATGCAAGAAAACGAAACATATGATAGATTTAAATCAAGTTTTTTAGATGTCAAAGGACATCGTGCAAAGATTAATTAAAGTAACAGCACAAAACATTGAGAATCCCATCCACAAACGATTCAAGACTCATGCTTTAAAGTAAGATAGTAAAAAGAATACATTTTTCAAAAGTAGATAGTTCACATTAAGTTTATTGTTAACTCGTGTTTTTGTAGTCAGTTTGTTTAACAACGTTTCTAATGAGATTTTGGCGGGGATTGAACAGGTATATTCTGACGGAGATCTGAAAAATCCTCGGCTGACATAAAATCTTCTCTTCGACTGTATCCGACATGAAACATCAAAAATTCTTCCCATCTTTGGTAGCGGAGGTAGAAAGTAAACCATCGACGATCCGCACTCCGACGGCGCAGATCTCTATACTCTAGGTTTTCTTCACTGACTGTACAGAATATAGCTATTCTGAAAAAAAACACATAGCAGTGAAACATAAGGGTTTCAAACTAACTAAGATTGTTTATTCACGAAAAGTGAGTCAGTGTGTCCCCATAAGCTTTTTTTTTTTGACAAAGAATATCAATACAAACAGATATTCACAGTGCTCAAGAGAAAAAAGAAAAAAAAAAAGTACCTCAACCCTTGAATACCAAAACACAGTTTTCAGCATTTAACAACGGTTAGAGGCGTTTATAAAAGAAAACAAATTGCGTCTAGCATACGTATAACTATCCGTTTGTCGGTCACTAATTTTCTTCTTAACCAGTTTTTCTTGTTTATTTGCAAAGATTCTCTGAAATAGCAAGCTATAATTCAAAATTTCAAATTGGACACGATACAATTTGCTTTTTCTTGTAGGCTATAAAGCAGAGTGTATTTTCAGAATTAAATATGTACGTACAATTTATCCCTAGAATCCTTTTGAGGTAAACTCCCTTAAAAAAGAGATGGGAATTGTAAGAGATTATTCTATGTGATCATATGTTTTAACTTTGATAACATGTGAGTTTGTACAGTACGTTTTCTCTTGTGTGTGTTTTTTTAAGATAATGACGTTTATCTGCTGATGATGTCTATGCATGATGAAAAAAACTCTTGACTCTTAAACTGCTTCCATGCTTTATTCAACGCTTCCAAAGAATTAATAAAAACTGACACATCTCGACACTAGAAAAAGTGTATTATAACAAAGTTTAATGTCGAGTGACGATCTGTCTGTTATTACCCAATCAAATCGGTTGTAAAGTAACGCATGTAATAGCATATCTGATCGATCCATCCGACCGACTTGCTTCATATTATGTCAACTTTTTTAGATTTCTTTGCATATTGATATATATAAATTGGTCTTATGGTAGACGTGTGACTTCGTTCTTATCCAACATATATTTAAGTAATGTCTAAGCGCGCTGGTGTAACGAATAGTTTAAGATATGGTTATAAATAATTTTGTGAAGAACTATATCTGAATATTTGAGATTCCTGTTGAAAACACAACGTTAGTGATAGTTT